TGGGATCGACCCTGGGAACAGCCCTGGGAGCTGGGATCGGAGCTGGGATCTGCTCTGGGATCTGGGATTGACCCTGGGAACAGCCCTGGGAGCTGGGATCGGAGCTGGGATCTGCTCTGGGATCTGGGATCAGTCCTGGGAACAGCCCTGGGAGCTGGGATCAGAGCTGGGATCTGGGATCGACCCTGGGAACAGCCCTGGGAGCTGGGATCTGCTCTGGGATCTGCTCTGGGATCTGGGATCGACCCTGGGAACAGCCCTGGGAGCTGGGATCTGCTCTGGGATCTGGGATCAGTCCTGGGAACAGCCCTGGGATCTGGGATCGGAGCTGGGATCAGCCCTGGGATCTGGGATCAGTCCTGGGATCAGCCCTGGGAGCTGGGATCTGCTCTGGGATCAGTCCTGGGATCAGCCCTGGAGCTGGGATAGGAGCTGGGATCGACTCTGGGATCCAGGATCAGCCCCAGGGATCTGGGATCAGCTCTGGGATCAGTCCTAGGCTCCAGGATCAGCCCCAGAATCAGCCTTGGGATCTGGGATCAGCCCCGGGATCTGGGATCAGCTCTGGGGTGAGCCCCAGGATCCAGGATCAGCCCCAGGCTCTGGGATCTGCCCCAGGATCAGCCCCAGAATCCCAGATCAGCTCCGGGATCAACCCCAGGCTCCGGGATCAGGATCAGGATCAGTCCCAAGCTCTGGGATCAGCCCCAGGGTCGGGATCGGGATCAGCCCCAGCATCGGGATCTGCCCCAGGATTCAGGATCAGCCCCAGGGTCGGGATCAGCCCCAGGATCGGGATCTGTCCCAGGATCTGGGATCAAGATCAGGATTGGGATCAGCCCCAGGATCAGGATCAGCCCCAGGATCTGGGATCAGGATCAGGATCGGGATCATCCCCAGGATCAGGATCACCCCCAGGATCTGGGATCAGGATCAGCCCCAGGACCAGGATCAGCCCCAGGAGCCGGGATCAGCCCCAGGATCGGGATCTGTCCCAGGATCTGGGATCAAGATCAGGATCAGGATCAGCCCCAGGATCGGGATCAGCCCCAGGATCTGGGATCAGGATCAGGATCAGGATCAGCCCCAGGATCTGGGATCAGGATCAGCCCCAGGACCAGGATCAGCCCCAGGATCCGGGATCAGCCCCAGGATCGGGATCGGGATCAGGCTCAGCCCTGGGGGGCGGGGCCGGGCTGTCCCCGTGTCCCCGCGGGGGAGGGCCGGGGGTGATCCAGTGGATCCCACGTTAATCCAGCAGGGAGGGCTCGGCCGGGCGGATGATGGTCGGGCGGCTCGGGGCCGCCGGGGGCCTCCTGTGGGCAACGGGGTCAGATCCCCGAGGGATCCCAGCCAGCCCCAGTGTGAACCCAGTGCATCCCACCCCACCCCAGTGGATCCCAGCAGATCCCTCCCATCCCAGTGTGACCCCACCCAATTCCAGTGTGATCCCAGCCCATCCCAGTGGATCCCACCCCAGTGGATCCCAGTGGACTCCACCCAATCCCAGTGTGACCCCAGTGGATCCCAGCCCATCCCAGTGGATCCCAATGTGCCCCCAGCCAGTCCCAGTGGATCCCACACCATCCCAGTGTGACCCCGCCCCACCAGATCCCACCCAGTCCAAATGGATCCCACCCGATCCCAGCAGATCCCAGTGTGACCCCACCCGACCCCAGTGTGACCCCAGTGGATCCCACCCGATCCCAGTGTGACCCCAGTGGATCCCACCCGATTCCAGTGTGACCCCAGTGGATCGCGGCCCACCCCAGTGGATCCCAGCCGATCCCCGTGTGACCCCACCCCGTCCCAGTGTGACCCCAAACCCAGCAGATCCCACCCGATCCCACCGGATCCCCCGCTCACCTGGGCACTCCGGGCGGGATTCCGGGCGGGATCCGCGCGGGCCGGGCTGGGATCTGGGGCGGGGCCGGGAAGGGATCGCTGGCGCTGCCGAAGGGGCCCAGGCGGGATGGGATGGGGGGCGCGGCCGGGGCCCCCCCGGGCAGGGGCAGCAGCGGCGGCCCCGGGGCCCGAAGGGACGGGGGGCGGCCCGGGGGGAGCAGAGCCGAGGGCGGGCGGCGCTGGGCGGGGGGGCTGCAACGGGAACGGGATCCCGATCGGTCACCGGGATCGGGAACGGGATCCCGATCGGTCACCGGGATCGGGATTGGTCACTGGGAATGGGATCCAGAGCGGTCACCGGGATCGGGAATGGGATCCCGATCGGTCACCGGGATCGGGAATGGGATCCCGATCGGTCACCGGGATCGGGAACGGGATCCAGATCGGTCACCGGGATCGGGATTGGTCACTGGGAATGGGATCCAGAGTGGTCACCGGGATTGGGAACGGGATCCCGATCGGTCACCGGGATCGGGAACGGGATCCAGATCGGTCACCGGGATCGGGAACGGGATCCCGATCGGTCACTGGGATCGGGATTGGTCACTGGGAATGGGATCCAGAGCGGTCACCGGGATCAGGAATGGGATCGATTGGTCATCGGGAATGGGAACGGTCACCGGGAATGGGAACGGGATCCAGATCGGTCACCAGGATCGGGATCCAGATCGGTCATTGGGAATGGGAACGGGATCCCAGTCGGTCACCGGGATCCCAATCGGTGACCGGGAACGGGAACAGGATCCAGATCGGTCACCAGGATTGGGATCAGTCATCGGGATTGGGAATGGGAATGGGATCGGTCACCGGGAATGAGATCGGTCACTGGGAATGGGATTGGTCACCGGGATCGGGATCGGTCACCAGGAATGGGATCGGGAACGGGATCAGTCAAACACCCCAAACCCCACAGGAAACACCCCAAACTCCCTTCAACCTGCCCAAACCCCATAAGAAACACCCCAAACCCACCCCAAACCCCCCCAAACCCCCCCAA